TTTTTTTTTATATTTTTTAAAATTTTTTTAATAATGAATAGTTCTAATTGAAGTTAGTACTAAAATTTTTTATAAACAAATTTATATTTTTTACATATAAAAAATTTTTAGAGCAAATTCCCGATTAGAATATTTCTTTGTAAAAATCAAAAAAATCATATTAACTAGTTAGCTTTAGATAGGCAATAAATAATAAAATTAGAACTTCTATATGGAGCATAAGCTTTCGTTTTTAGTATACTTTATTAATCTGAAAATGATTGTTCCGGTAATTTATTGAAAATTTCTTCACTATGTCGAGTCTATTAGTAAATTTTAAATAAATTCACTATATTGAGAGGTTTATATATCGACTGTTTTTACAATACTTATACTATATTGTGAGTTTATATCGTGAGTTTACTATAACGTGAATAACCTTTATTAGACTTTTGAAGACCTAAAAGCAGTCTCATATATGTCGCACAAAAAATAATATAGTAACCTTAAAACATGAAAATTCATTTTTTTAACAATTTATTATCTTGTTAACGTTAAGAAATTATTATCCCATTTTTAAATAGAAGTGTTCAACATAGTACAGTATGTACTCCTGATTTAGCGAGCGGATTTTGAATAATATAAATTTACACTTGAAGTCAAAGGACAACAACTTTTATTTCACAAACTGAATTGTTAAATGTAATATAATCAATGTTGGTCACCCTTATAAGCCCAGTAATTTGACTGGGATTGGACATATACATTCCAATTAGAATCTGTAAGCTAATGTTCCAGTTTATAAGTTCAGTGAAAGCTGGTCTAGTTGCCCAACACTGAATATAATCTATATAAGGTCTTACTATATAAGAGATTTCTAAAATAATGTTTATTACTGTAGCTAAAAATCAGAATTAACTGGCAGGCCAAACTAAAGACATGTGTATATACATATTTTTATAAGCTAGCAGACAACTGTACATCCCACACATCCTACAAGTTAGCCTTTACTTTAATCACGAGATTCCACCACCTAACCAATTCCTCATTCGCGAATGTGAGATATCCAAATTCGTGAGCATAATTCCAGTCACTACTAACATTTTTGGGGGTTTCGCCATCCACTTTTTTTTGTCCTTCATACTTCCAGTGAGTGTTAGTAAATCCGCAGGTGATAGGAGTTACGTACTTATCGCAAATCGGGCATTTGGATTTATGCTCATCATTAAAAAAATTAAAGTCTTTGTAACCCCACTGAATTACTACTCGACCTTGGTTGTAAGCTTTACATGAATTATTCTTACAATATCCTTAATAAAGGAAACGGTTATTGAACTTATTTTTATCTCTATTTAATTTAACATCAAATATTTACCTTCAAGATTAAGACCGCCTACCGCAACCCTCCAAGGTTGAGCATCATTAACCCATGGTTGAACCACCTTAGATTTGGTTAAATCTTGAAAGTAGTTAACAAAACTAGGCATGCTATGCCCACCGCAGAGTCTTGCATTAAGATGCAAAGTTGATCCCTTTGAGATTGCGTAATCAAATAAGGTGTGGACGTCTTCCAATTGTCTGCCAGAAAAAATGAGACGTTGTTGATCAGAGGGAATGTGTCCTTTATTGTAAATCTTTTTTTTAACATCTTCAATGCTATGACATGATTCGACTTCAAGAGCAATTGTTTCTCCGTTTAGAGTTTTAATAAAAACTTGCATTTTTATCTCTTTTATAAAAATATTTAATAAAGAAAATGTATTCTGAAGTTAAGAAAACGGTTTATCAATTATTTTACTAAAGCCATAATCTAAATAAGAAACAATTAATCATTTATTTGGCTTGGTGCATGCATCCATATGTACTTTTTCACATGCTATTAACAATTTGATCTATTGTATGATTTCTACGTAGCCTCTATCTGCTATGCACAACTAAATGTACGTTGTGAAAGGGAAAGTTAGTCCAAGATCGTTGTCTAGGTAGCACAAGGCGATCAAACTAAATATACCAGGAACGGAGTGATATTG